TTCCAAAAATGTGTATTCCTATAAGATTTTCAGAGTTGTTAAGCTTCAAGAAGTATGACACCTTGACATCTGCATTCATATTTAATTACAAATGAATATTGTTGAATTTTGAAATAATTTTATTAGATTGTTCCTGCAGCTGCATTATATAAGGCTCTCTACCTCATTTCAGTTGAACACCCTGTAGCCACTTTTCACTGTTTGTTTTTTCCAGGTGCTAAAGTGGAATTTTACTACCCCACGGGATGAATACATTGAGCAGCTGAAGACTCAAATGTCTAGCTGTGTGGCTAAATGGTTACAAGATGAGATGTTTCACTCAGACTTTCAGCATCATAACAAAGCCCTGGCTGTTATGGTTGATGTAAGTCTGCAATAGATAAATATACATGTATCTCAGACATGTGAAAATACTGAGCCCTATGAAATAATCTGAAGTTTGCATGACTTGAAAAGGAAGTAGAATATACTATGTTCTCTATTTTTTAGAGCTGTTTTATTATTTGGTAGAATAAATGAATGTGTGTGTATATTTTTTAGGTCTTAATTGAAGGCTTAAAAATCTGTCATTTTATTTTTGGGCTCCAATAAAATTTAAGAGACACTTGCCTAGTAGAATTGAGATTTTGTATATTCTTATTTGTGGGAGTTTTGTTTTCTTTTATTTTAAGCACTTGGAGAGTGAAAAAGAAGGTGTTATTGGTTGCCTGGATCTTATCTTAAAGTGGCTTACCCTGAGGTTTTTTGACACCAATACAAGTGTCCTGATGAAAGCACTAGAATATTTAAAATTGCTCTTCACCTTGCTAAGTGAGGAAGAATATCATCTTACTGAGAGTGAAGCATCTTCCTTCATCCCCTATCTTGTTGTCAAGGTAATGTGGTGTTCTCTCTCTGGGAGACTGCTTGAGTTCCCAGCTGACCTCAGTTTCTATACTTTTATTTCCTCTCCCTTTTTTACTGATTATATCATGGTACCTTCCCTACTCATCCCTATTTCCCTATTCTTTCAAAACATAGTAATGCATGGGAGAATCATTACTACTTAGGAAATGCCTCACTTAATCATTATTTTCCTTGTTGTGACTAGGTTGGAGAACCAAAGGATGTCATTCGTAAAGATGTTCGTGCCATCCTGAACCGGATGTGCCTTGTCTACCCAGCTAGCAAGATGTTTCCCTTTATCATGGAAGGAACCAAATCCAAAAACTCTAAGCAGAGAGCAGGTGAAGCAAATAGTTTAAACTGAGATATGAATCTCTGCAGCAGTAGCCTATAGAAGAAATAGTTTATAGATGAACAAATAAATTTCTCCAATGCCTATGTAGTTGATTCCAACCTCCTGATTTAGACTGTGAGAGTGATGAGTTGCACACTGGTGGAGCCATGGTATCAGGTGATACAGGCACCACTCAGTATCACCCTGGTGACAAAATCAAGTGCACAGGGGCCATCTGATTCACAGGCATCTCTTCCTTTCAGGAGCACTTGCTGAAATACCATTTTTTAACTGATAAAAGGCAGTAAACAAAAAATCCTAGGCAGAGCCAGAGTCAGATTTAAGTCCTTCATATATGCCAAGGGAAATTTCTCTAGTAAGGATAAGTCTCTATCCCAAATATGTGTTGTTTCATTAATCTAGCCTTTCTCCCCCATCAGAGTGCCTGGAAGAGCTGGGATGTCTGGTTGAGTCCTATGGCATGAATGTTTGCCAACCAACCCCAGGAAAAGCCTTAAAGGAAATAGCTGTTCACATAGGAGACCGTGACAATGCTGTACGCAATGCTGCACTCAACACCATTGTAACGGTGTACAATGTACATGGGGATCAGGTGTTCAAACTGATTGGAAATGTGAGTGACTTCTCCGAACACTGTCAGCATGTTGTGAAAAGAATTGCAAGATCTCCTAGGTGCTAGGTTTCCTGTCCTCTCAACTGTAGCTAAGCTTTTACTACTTTTTAGTCAACTCAACCTATCAATGTGTCCTAGAATCCGGATAGACCCTTGAGGTGTCTCTGATTAGGCTGTTTTAATGGAAATCAAGTTTTCTTTTCTGAGCATTCTATTCATAGTAAATTTACTTTAGAAATGAGTGCTATTTTTGAATCAAGAAATCTGAGCTAGTCCTGGGTTTAAATTCCTCCTGGCAGTCTGCTCTGTAATTTTTACTGCATCGAGTTTTTGGTTAAAAAGTGCTTACTTGTGTATAGTGTGGATACTAGTATCTGTCAGATCACGTCTTGAGCTACAGCCATGAGCCAGTTTTCCACTCACATTAGGTTCTGCCTCTGACCTCTTATTTCGTTTGAGCGAGTCTGGACCTCTGTCTTCAGTTACCTCATAGTGTCACCATATATTTACACTGGGCTTAAATATGTTTATTTATATTTTCTGATTTAATTCTCACTACTACTCAGTGAAGAATATAAAGCAGTTGGGAATTTTATAGATGACCAAAAATGAAGTTTCTTGCCCATAGTCACACAGCTAGATAGTGGTGACAAAACAAAAAATGGGGAAGCTTCATTTAATTTTTGACCTTTTTATTTGTAGTTACTAATTGGCTTTCTTTTTTATCCTTTCCTTTCCTTTTTTTTTTTTTTTTTTTTTTTTTTTTTTTTTGAGACAGGGTCTTGCTCTGTCACCTAGGCTGGAGTGCAATGGTGTGATCATGGTTCACTGCAGCCTCGACCTCCCAGGCTCAAGTGATCTTCTGACTTCAACCTCCTGAGTAGCTAGGACTATAGGCGTGTGCCACCATGCCCACCTAATTTTTATACTTTTTATAGAGATGGTGTTTCACCATGTTGCCCAAGCTGGTGTCAAACTCCTGGGCTCAAGTGATCCTCCTGCTTTGGCTTCCCAAAGTGCTGGGATTACAGGCATGAGCCACTGCACCCAGCCCCTCCTTCTTTCATATCTCCTCTTCCTGTTAGCAGCTAGGCAGGTATTAACAGTAGTTCATTTTGAAGTGTGGTGCTTTGAAAGTAAACATGTCCTAACATAGAAGGTTCTATTTGTTTTGATATGAAAATAGATATTATTGAGTTATTCAGTTAAGTTTCTAAATTTGGCCTCTTTACAGCTTTCTGAAAAGGATATGAGCATGCTCGAGGAGAGGATTAAGCGGTCAGCAAAGAGACCCTCCGCTGCACCAATAAAACAAGTGGAAGAGAAACCTCAGCGTGCACAGAACATAAGCTCCAATGCCAACATGTTACGCAAGGGACCAGCTGAGGACATGTCTTCCAAACTCAAGTATGTAGATAGAGATACTTGTCTAAGAGCATCTCTATGGCCTTTGCCTTGTGTGCTCACAGCCTGTCCTGTAACATAATCTTGAGTTCTTGTAGCCATTATCATGCATGACAGAGTGTCTGGGTAAATGTATTGTAACCAAATGTCTGATCCTTCAGTCTTCATTGTCTTTGTCTTTGTCTCAAAACCACTTCTAAATGGTCTTGTGCCTTCTTTCACTGCTTTTCCGTGGACAGAATTATGTATCGCACTTATAGGATGTAAGTACTGCCTGCTAATTTCTCATTAGCAGGGCTCTTATATCTTTCTAACTTCTGACTTGGATTCATCCCCTCTGGAGGGTGACTAGCTTAGAGTTTATAATCAGGGTAGAGGGTGTCCATAAGTACCCCATGAATCAAGTCTTCCACAAAAGTTCAATGTCATGTGGCTAAAACATTGATTCACTTTCTTCTTTGTGTTATACTTGGTTGTGCTTAATTTCCTATTCTTGAGATAAGGCTAAATAAAATACATGCAACCCAAAATTGGCTTAGGGACTCAAAATACTGCCTCCTAAGCAAGACAGCTCTATTTTGGGTTGTGTCATGAGTATAATTTTAACCAACTTGAATTTGGAAACTTTGAATCCCTATTTCTTGGATGTAAAGCTGGCCCTGACCTGTCAAGAGTGAATATTCTAAAAAGGGGTGACTAGTGGTCTCACAAAGTATAAAATGTGCTGAACACTGCATGGAATGGTACTTATGATTAGCAAAATTAAAGCACTGGTTAATTTGGTGGAAAAGAACCAGCCAGTCTAGATTTTTCTTATATATTTGCCCATAAGTAGTGAACTTTGAGTCAATATAAATATCTTTGATTGTTTTCTGCCCCATCAGGAATAGAAGTACAAGGTTTATGGGCTTTAGTGAACTAGAACAAATACTTATAACTTGGCAGGTAATGTAAGTATAAGTTAAAGTTATCTGCCCTCTTAGGATATTCATGAACCAATGTTGTTGGCTATTAAAGGCACTTGCTTAGCTCAGGGACTTAAATCATTCAGGGGGGCTGAAACCAGAAGTTGAACATCTGTCCTGAAGCTTTGGGGCAACTGACAGTGCTACTCTTGCCCTTTGGTTAAGAAGTCTCTCTTAGTTCAGGAGCCTCCTTTTGCTTCCCTTAGCCAAGCCCGAAGCATGAGTGGGCATCCTGAGGCAGCCCAGATGGTCCGCCGAGAATTCCAGCTGGATCTAGATGAGATTGAGAATGACAATGGTACAGTCCGATGTGAAATGCCAGAACTTGTTCAGCACAAACTGGATGACATTTTTGAGCCAGTCCTTATTCCTGAACCCAAGTGAGTTAAACTCTTTCATTTAAATATGAGCAGTTCATGATGATCAGACGGCATATGTGAAATATGCCCTTTGTGGTAATGTGCAGTTAAAACTTTTTAGAACTGATTTCTTTCTGAATGATAGCAGTTGTTAACTAAGACCTGGACCTAGTGGAGAATTGTATAATTCCAACTGACTGGGATGTCTTGTAATAGAGATTGAAGTTTTCTCTTTGCTCTGCTATCTAGGATCCGGGCTGTTTCTCCACACTTCGATGATATGCATAGTAATACAGCATCCACAATCAATTTCATTATCTCCCAAGTAGCCAGTGGTGACATCAACACAAGTATCCAAGCTCTGACACAGGTAATGGGTGTGCTTCTGTGACAGGGATTCCATTGGTGGACATAGAGGCTATAAATGTGATGAATTGCACACTCGCAGAGTCCTAGCATTAGGGGATGCAGGCAGTGTTTCTTTCCCGAGGAGAGAAATGCACAGGTGCCACTCAGTCATCATGTGCCTCAGAGGATATGGCTGTAATAGAGCCTTACTCTTTTTTTTTTCTTTTGGTCTCACTATGTTGTCTGGGCTGGAGTGCAGTGGCTATTCACAGGCACTGTCATAGCACACTGCAGCTCCAAACTCCTGGGCTCAAGTAATCCGCCTGTCTCAGCTTCCTGAGTAGCTGGGACAACAGGCTTGCATCACTGCACCTGGCTAAGCCTTGCATTTTTTTATAATTGCATTGATTCACCAGAGGCTAGAGATAAAACAGCAGCTAACAAGTAAGGACCAACTCTCATGGAACTTATTTAGATTTTAGTGGACAGAGACAAGTAAACAAGAAAATATCACACAGTTGTAACAACTGTGTAAATATAACTTAAATGGAGTAATGACAGAGAGGAACTGAGTAGATACTTAGACTGGATGATCAGGAAAACTCTGATATCCTTGTGGCTAAGAGTATTCCAAGGAGAGGAAAGACCTCGTATTCAGAGGTCTTAGGGCAGAAATGAGCTTGAAGTTCAAGGAAATAAGGTTCATGTGCCTGGAGCATAGTGTTAAAGGGGGAGAATGATACAGAATGAGATTTGAGAGGCAGACAGTGATCATATCATGTAGGGCTTTAAAAGCACCAGGGTGAGTTGTTTGGATTTTATTTCAATTATGATGGGAAACTATTAGAAATTTTTTAAAACAGAAGTCACGGGTGGGTATGGTGGCTCCTGCCTGGAGTCCCAGCTGCTCAGGTGGCTGAGGTGGGAAAATTGCTTGAGCCTGGGAGGTTGAGGCTGCAGTGAGCTGTGATTGCACCACTGTACTCCAGCCTGGGTGACAGAGTGAGACCATGTCTCAAAAAAAAAAAAAAAAAAAAAAAAAAATAGGCCAGGTGCAGTGGCTCACACCTATAATCCCAGTGCTTTGGGAGGCCAAGGTGGGTGGATCATGAGGTCAGGAGTTCGAGACCAGTCTGGCCAGTATGGTGAAATCTCGTCGCTACTGAAAATACAAAAATTAGCTGGGCGTGGTGGCGCACGCCTGTAGTCCCAGCTGCTCGGGAGGCTGAGGCAGGAGAATCACTTTAACCCGGGAGGCGGAGGTTGCAGTGAGCCGAAATCGTGCCACTATACCCCAACCTGGGTGACAGAGCGAGACTCCATCCCCAAAAAATAAATTAATAAAATTTAAAAAATAAAACAACCCAAAGTGAATCAACAACAATGTGACAAAATGAGATTGTTTTGTAATTTTTTTTTTTTCTTTTTTTTGAGATGGAGTCTCGCCTTGTTGCCCAGTCTGGAGTGCGGTGGGGCAATTTTAGCTCACTGAAGCCTCTGCCTCCTGGGTTCAAGCAATTCTCCTGCCTCGGCTTCCCTAGCAGCTGGGATTACAGGCACCCACCACCACGCCCAGCTAATTTTTGTATTTTTAGTAAAGACAGGGTTTCATCATGTTGACCAGACTGGTCTTAAACTTCTCACCTCAGGTGATCCACCTGCCTTGGCCTCCCAAAGTGCTGAGATTATAGGCGTGAGCCACTGCGTCAGGGTGATAAAAGGAAATTATGTGCTACATTGATGGGATCCAGTGAGAGTTCCACATCACTTTGCTGATATTCCTGATGTTGCATAACCTGAATCATGGGAAACATGTACAAATTAAGGACATTTTATAAAGATTCAAGGTCAAAGCTGGGTGCAGTGACTCACGCCTGTAATCCCAGCACTTTGGGAGGCCAAGGTGGGCAGATCACCTGAGGTTGGGGGTTCGAGACCAGCCTGATCAACATGGAGAAACCTTGTCTCTACTAAAAATACAAAAAACAATAGCCGGGCATGGTGGCGCACGCCTGTAATCTCAGCTACTCGGGAGGCTGAGGCAGGAGGATATCTTGAAACCCAGGAGGTGGAGGTTGCTGTGAGCCAAGATTGCGCCATTGCACTCCAGCCTGGGCAACAAGAACAAAACTTCATCTCCAAAAAAAGGAAAAAAAGAAAAAGATTCAAGGTCCAGAAAGTCAAGGAAACACTGAAGAACTGTCCTACACTATAAAGAGACTGAGAGACATGACAGGTAAATGCAGTGCGTGATTCTAGACTGGTCTTTTGCTTTAAAGGACATAATTGAGGTTATTGGAGAAAATGGAATGGGGTCTGAGGATTAGATTGTAGTGACATCAATGTTAATTTCTTGATGTTGATGGTTTTATTGTACTTATGAAGGAGAATGTCCCTGTTGTTAATAAGTATACCCTAAAGTATCAGGGTCATGGAACATCAGATTGACAACTTTTAAATGATTCAGGATAAAAGAGTTCCTTTACTACCCTTTCAACGTTTCTGTAATGTACTTTTTTTTCACCTTTGCAGATTTTTTGTTTGTATTAATTGTGGAAGAAATTACTGTGGCCACTCTAGAGATAAAATTATATGCAAGGCAAGAGTGAATTCCAGCAATTCTTTTAGGAAGTTGTGGCCAAAATTTATATGAAAGGTACTATGTGCCACTAGGATGATAATGGTGACGAGGAAGGAAGTCATGGTTTCAGCGTTTCTTTTGGAAGTAGAATCCACAGAACTTGCTAACAGACTGGATATAAACAATGCCTTATTACCATTAGTGACAGCCAGTGCACTGAAACAGAACACTGGACCAATATGTGAGAAAGCTGAGTTTTTGAGTTTGGACCAGTAGTCTGATCTTTCTGAGCCTCACTTTTCATCTGGTAAATGGAGATCGTAATATCAGGCCTGTCTGAAGAGTCTAAAAAGCTCTCTTTTTAATAAATTGTATATTTAAACATAAGGATTTTTGTTTTGTTTTGTTTTTGAGATGGAGTCTCGCTCTGTCACCCAGGCTGGAGTTCAGTGTCGTGATCTTGGTTCACTGCAACCTCCGCCTCCTGGGCTCAAGCAGTTCTCCTGCCTCAGCCTCCTGAGTAGCTGGGATTACAGGTGCCTGCCACCACGCCAGGCTAATTTTTCTATTTTTGGTACAGATGGGGTTTCACCATGTTGGCCAGGCTGGTCTCCAACTCCTGACCTCAAGTGACTCGCCCACCTTGGCCTCCCAAAGTGCCAGGATTACAGACGTGAGCCACTGCGCCCAGCCAAACATAAGGATTATTATTCCCTGAATTAGACAATGAGCCTCTTAGAATCGAACCTGTGACTCATTTATCTAATATCTTGCTCAGTAAATATTTGTTGAATGACTGAATCCCTAAGGACTAGTTATTTATATATAAATGGGGCCAGGCGCGGTGGCTCACACCTGTAATCCCAGCACTTTGGGAAGCCGAGGTGAGTGGATCACAAGGTCAGGAGTTTGAGACCAGCCTGGCCAACATGGTGAAACCCTGTCTCTACTTAAAATACAAAAATTAGATGGGCATGGTGGCAGGCGCCTGTAATCCTAGCTACTTAGGAGGCTGAGGCAGGAGAATCACTTGAAACCGGAAGGTGAAGGTTGCAGTAAGCCAAGATTGTGCCACTGCACTCCAACCTGGGCGAAAGAGCAAAATAATAAATGAATAAAATAAGTAAATAAAGTAAATGGGCTTTTTTTTTAAGGTAAGACTTTGGAAGTACTTTGCTATTAAATATTCTTACAGAGAAGTTTCATATAGTGTCTTCCTGCTGCTTTAGAATATAAAGCTTGAAAAATATATCTTGATATTTTTGTTATCAGATCGATGAGGTCCTGAGACAGGAAGACAAAGCTGAAGCCATGTCCGGCCATATTGATCAGTTTCTCATAGCCACGTTTATGCAGCTAAGACTCATCTACAACACACACATGGCAGATGAGAAATTGGAGAAGGATGAGATCATCAAGTTGTATAGCTGTATCATTGGCAACATGATTTCGGTAAGGGCACCTCTGCAGGATTTCAGCTTCCCATCAATCTCTCAGCCTACATAGGTTCAAAAGCCAGAGTCCATGCAGATGTTGCAGTGAGTCCTGTGTCACTTGGTAGAATTTTACATGCGTTGTATAGCAAGTTACTGATGGCCTCCATTGAATGTTTTGCTACACTCCATCCCACCTTACTGTTAGGATATAAAGTAAAATGCTTACAGACTACCCAGCTTCTTCCTGTCAGTTTCTTCATCAGGCGTGGTAGGCCATAGCTGCCTTTCCACAGATAAGTATGGTTACATTAAAAATGCTAATTAGACTGGTTTGATCAGTAGACATTGTATACATGTGAAATATCACTCTGTATTCCATAAATTTGTACAGTTATTACATGTTAGCTAAAAATAAAAGGGAAAAAAATTTGTCAATGTTTTACCTTTAGAGCAGATTATAAGGATAATAAAGACATTATCACTCGGATTTCAATATGCTTTCTTAAATTGGGGCTAAAAGGGTGGACTTGATGCCAACTAGCCAGAAATTACAAATTTGGCATAACAATAAATAATTTCACATGTAAAACCAAATACTTTGGCCAGGAGCTGTGGCTCACGCCTATAATCTCAGCACGTTGGGAGGCTGAGGCAGGTGGATCACGAGGTCAGGAGTTCAGGACCAGCTGGCCAAGATGGTGAAACCCCATCTCTACTAAAAATACAAAAAATTAGCCAGGCCTGGTGGCGGGCGCCTGTAGTCCCAGCTACTCGGGAGGTTGAGGCAGAGAATTGCTTGAACCCAGGAGGCAGAGCTTGCAGTGAGCCGAGATCATGCCACTGCACTCCAGTCTGGGCGACAGAGCGAGACTCCGTCTCAGAAAAAAAAACAAAAACAAACTTTTACAATTAGAAAGAAGCACACTGATTAATTTTGCCTATTACTAGAGGCTTGGGGGAGTGTGGTGATTTTGTTTTTTCGTTAATATTCTAAATTTTAAAAACCACAACATAGCCGGGCGCAGTGGCTCGCGCCTGTAATCCCAGCACTTTGGGAGGCTGAGGCAGGTGGATCACGAGGTCAGGAGATCAAGACCATCCTGGCTAACACGGTGAAACCCCGTCTCTACTAAAAAAATAATACAAAAACTTAGCTGG